AGTGCAAAAGGCAAGGAGAAAAAACCAGATAGGTCTGTTTCCAGTGATACTATTTTTGATTAGTCAGGAATGATGATTATGGCTACAGTTGGCTGCAAGGAGACTGAGGAGTTTTGTAACTGGATATATTGCTATTGTGAGTTAAAATAGGATTATCAATAGGGAAGGATGAGCTGGATGGCTGCCTGCCTACTAACAATACCTGCCACAACAGGCCAGAAAGCAACTCCCAAGAAAATACCAATAAATATCATATGAGCCACCCTGGATACTCTAAACATAATGCAGTTAATTATTTTTTTAATTTTATTATGTTAATCACCATACATCATTAGTTTTTGATGTAGTGTTCCATGATTCACTGTTTGCATGTAACACCCAGTGCTCCATGCAGAACGTGCCCTCTTTAATACCCATCACCAGGCTAACCCATCCCCCCACGCCCTCCCCTCTAGAACCCTCAGTTTGTTTCTCAGAGTCCATAGTCTCTCATGGTTTGTCTCCCGCTCCGATATCCCCCCCTTCATTTTTCCCTTCCTGCTTTTTTTTTTTTAATATATAACGTGTTATTTGTTTTAGAGGTACAGGTCTGTGATTCAACAGTCTTACACAATTCACAGCACTCACCATAGCACATACCCTCCCCAATGTCTCTCACCCAGCCACTCCATCCCTCCCACCCCCCACCACTCCAGCAACCCTCAGTTTGTTTCCTGAGATTAAGAATTCCTCATATCAGTGAGATCACATGATATATGTCTTTCTCTGATTGATTTTGCTCAGCATAATGCCCTCCAGTTCGATCCATGTCATTGCAAACAGCAAGATTTCATTCCTTTTGATGGCTGCATAATATTCCATTGTATATATATACCACTTCTTCTTTATCCATTCATCTGTCGATGGACATCTTGGCTCTTTCCACAGTTTGGCTATTGTGGACATTGATGCTATAAACATTGGGGTGCATGTGCCCCTTCAGATCACTACATTTGTATCTTTGTGGTAAATGCCCAGTAGTGCAATTGCTGGATCGTATGGTAGCTCTATTTTCAACTTTCTGAGGAACCTCCATACTGTTTTCCTGAGTGGCTGCACCAGCTTGCATTCCCACCAACAGTGTAGGGGGGTTCCCCTTTCTCCACACCCTCGCCAACATCTGTCGTTTCCTGACTTGTTAATTTTAGCCATTCTGACTGGTGTGAGGTGGTATCTCACTGAGGTTTTGATTTGGATTTCCCTGATGCTGAGCGATGAGCACTTTTTCATGTGTCTGTTGGCCATTTGGATGTCTTCTTTGGAAAAATGTCTGTTCACGTCTTCAGCCCATTTCTTTAAAGATTTTTATTTATTGAGAGAGAGAGAGAATGGTAGAGAGAGAGCATGAGAGGGAGGAAGGTCAGAAGGAGAAGCAGACTCCCTGCTGAGCAGGGAGCCCAATGTGGGACTCGATCCTGGGACTCCAGGATCATGACCTGAGCCAAAGGCAGTCGCTTAACCAACTGAGCCACACAGGCACCCCAGCCCATTTCTTGATTGGATCATTTGTTCTTTGGGTGTTGACTTTGATAAGTTCTTTATAGATTTTGGATACTAGCCCTTTATCTGATATGTCATTTGCAAGTATCTTCTCCCATTGTCGGTTGTCTTTTGGTTTTGTTGACTGTTTCTTTTGCTGTGCAAAAGCTTTTCATCTTGATGAAGTCCCAATAGTTCATTTTTGCCCTTGCTTCCCTTGCCTTTGGTGATGTTTCTAGGAAGAAGTTGCTACGGCTGAGGTCGAAGAGGTTACTGCCTGTGTTCTCCTTTAGGATTTTTTTAATAAAGATTTTATTTATTTATTTGACAGAGACAATGAGAGCAGGAACACAAGCAGGGGGAGTGGGAGAGGGAGAAGCAGGCTTCCCGCAGAGCAGGGGGCCTGATGCGGGGCTTGATCCCAGGACGCTGGGATCATGACCTGAGCCGAAGGGAGACGCTTAACAACTGAGCCACCTAGGCGCCCCTCCTTTAGGATTTTGAGGGACTCCTGTCTCACATTTAGGTCTTTCAACCATTTTGAGTCTATTTTTGTGTGTGGTGTAAGGAAATGGTCCAGTTTCATTCTTCTGCATGTGGCTGTCCAATTTTCCCAACACCATTTGTTGAAGAGACCGTCTTTTTTCCACTGGACATTCTTTCCTGCTTTGTCAAAGATAAGTTGACCATAGAGTTGAGGGTCCATTTCTGGGCTCTCTATTCTGTTCCATTGATCTATGTGTCTGTTTTTGTGCCAGTACCATGCTGTCTTGATGATGACAGCTTTGTAATAGAGCTTGAAGTCCGGAATTGTAATGCCGCCGGCTTTGCTTTTCAATATTCCTCTGGCTATTTGGGGTCTTTTCTGGTTCCATACAAATTTTAGGATTATTTGTTCCATTTCTTTGAAAAAAGTGGATGGTATTTTGATAGGGATTGCATTAAATATGTAGATTGCTCTAGGCAGCATTGACATCTTCACAATATTTGTTCTTCCAATCCATGAGCATGGAACGTTTTTCCATTTCTTTGTGTCTTCCTCAATTTCTTTCATGAGTATTTTATAGTTTTCTGAGTACAGATCCTTTGCCTCTTTGGTTAGATTTATTCCTAGGTATCTTATGGTTTTGGGTGCAATTGTAAATGGGATCGACTCCTTAATTTCTCTTTCTTCTGTCTTATTGTTGGTGTATAGGATTGCCACTGATTTCTGTGCACTGATTTTACATCCTGCCAGTTTACTGGATTCCTGTATGAGTTCTAGCAGTTTTGGGGTGGAGTCTTTTGGGTTTTCCACATAAAGTATATCATCTGCAAAGAGTGAGAGTTTAACTTCTTCTTTGCTGATTCGGATGCCTTTTATTTCTTTTTGTTGTCTGATTGCTGTGGCTAGGACTTCTAACACTATGTTGAATAGCAGTGGTGAGAGTGGACATCCCTGCAGTGTTCCTGACCTTAGGGGGAAAGCTCTCAGTTTTTCCCCATTGAGAATGATATTCACTGTGGGTTTTTCATAGACAGCTTTTATGATATTGAGGTATGCACTCTCTATCCCTATACTCTGAAGAGTTTTGATCAAGAAAGGATGCTGTACTTTGTCAAATGCTTTTTCTGCATCTATTGAGAGGATCATATGGTTCTTGTTCTTTCTTTTATTAATGTATTGTATCACGTTGATTGGTGTGCAGATGTTGAACCAACCTTGCAGCCCAGGGATAAATCCCACTTGGTCGTGGTGAATAATCCTTTTAATGTACTGTTGGATCCTACTGGCTAGTATTTTGGTGAGAATTTCTGTATCCATGTTCATCAAGGATATTGGTCTGTAATTCTCCTTTTTGATGGGGTCTTTGTCTGGCTTTGGGATCAAGGTAATGGTGGCCTCATAAAACGAGTTTGGAAGTTTTCCTTCCATTTCTGTTTTTTGGAACAGTTTCAGAAGAATACGTATTAATTCTTCTTTAAATGTTTGGTAGAATTCCCCTGGGAAGGCATCTGGCCCTGGGCTTTTGTTTGTTAGGAGATTTTTGATTACTGCTTCAATTTCTTTAGTGGTTATAGGTGTGTTCAGATTTTCTGTTTCTTCCTGGTTCAGTTTTGGTAATTTATACATCTCTAGGAACATTCCATCCCAAAGCAACAGAATACACATTCTTCTCTAGTGCCCATGGAACATTCTCCAGAATAGATCACATCCTAGGTCACAAATCAGGGTCTCAACCGATACCAAAAGATTGGGATCATTCCCTGCACATTTTCAGACCACAGTGCTTTGAAACTAGAACTCAATCACAAGAGGAAAGTCAGAAAGAACTCAAATACATGGAGGCTAAAGAGCATCCTACTAAAGAATGAATGGGTCAACCAGAAAATTAAAGAAGAATTTAAAAAATTCATGGAAACAAATGAAAATGAAAACACAACTGTTCAAAATCTTTGGAATGCAGCAAAGGCAGTCCTAGAGGAAAGTATATAGCAATACAAGCCTTTCTCAAGAAACAAGAAAGGTCACAACCTAACCCTACACCTAAAGGAGCTAGAGAAAAAACAGCAAATAAAGCCTAAACCCAGCATGAGAAGAGAAATAATAAAGATCAGAGCAGAAATCGATGAATTAGAAACCAAAAGAACAGTAGAACAGATCAACGAAACTAGGAGCTGGTTCTTTGAAAGAATTAACAAGATTGATAAACCCCGGGCCAGACTTATCAAAAAGAAAACAGAAATGACCCAAATAAATAAAATCATGAATGAAAGAGGAGAGATCACAACCAACACCAAAGAAATACAAACAATTATAAGAACATATTATGAGCAACCATATGCTAGCAAATTAGATAAACTGGAAGAAATGGATGCACTCCTAGAAATGCAGTTAATTTAGAAATCAACAATAATAAGGGTGTCTGGGTGGCTCAGCCGGTTGGGCATCTGACTCTTGATTTTGGCTTGGGCTGTGATCTTGGGGTTGTGGGGTCAAGACCTGCACTGGGGTCCACACTCAGCAGGGAGTCTGCTTGGGATTCTTTCTCTCCCTTTCCCCCTGCCCCCTGCTCTCTCTCTCTAAAATGAATGTCTTTTTTAAAAAAGAAAATAAGAAAATAACTGCAAACTTTTAACTATTTTGAAAACAATTCTAAAGAGCTATAGACTCGTTAAATCATAATAAATTTTATACGACATTTAGAGTTAAAATAAACAGACCAAAATGTGTTACATAGTTGAAGAGGTATTTAGAGGACTATAGTCTTTTTTTAAAGATTTTTTACTTATTTTTATTTATTTGACAGAGAGACAGAGCATAAGTAGGGGGAGTGGCAGGGAGAGGGAGAAGCAGACTCCCTGCTCAGCAGGGAGCCTGATGTGGGACTCGATCCCAGGACCCTGGGATCATGACCCGAGCTGCAGGAAGACGCTTAACCGACTGAGCCACCCCGGCGCCCCTAGAGGACTATAGTCTTAAATGCTTATTTTGGGCGATAAAGCCTGAAATAATGAGTTGGAGTCCACCTTAAGGCAATGAATAAATCAATTCCACATTCATAACATTTATAGTTTCTCTCCCAGTATAAATTTTGTGTATAATAAGTGAAGAACTCCGACTCAAGGCTTTTCCACATTGAATACATTCATAGGGTTTTTCTCCAGTGTGAGTTCTCACACGTCTCCTAAGGGAAGAGGAAACACTGAAGGTTTTCCTACATTCCTTACATTGATGGGTTTCTCTCCAGTATGAGTTCTCACATGTATTCTAAGGGATGAGAGACCACTAAAAACTTTCCCACAGTCATTGCATTTGTAGAGATTCTCTCGAGTGTGGATTTTCTTGTGAACTTTAAGGTTTGAGCGTATAGTAAAGGCTTTTCTACAGTCATTGCGGTCATAGAGTTTCTCCCCAGTATGTATTCTCTCACAATTAGGTAAGAACTTGTGCCAAAGGATTTTCCACAATGATTACACTCATAAGGTTTCTCTCCAGTGTGAGTTCTCACATGAATCTTAAGAGATGTTTTTTGACTGAAAGCTTTTCCACATTGATTACATTTGTAGGGTTTCTCACCAGTGTGAGTTCTTACATGTCTCCTTCGGGTTGAGGAATCGTTGGAAGACTTTCCCACATTCTTTACATTCATATTGTTTTTTGCCCATGTGACTTTTCTTGTGCAAAATAAGATTACAAAGTTTTCTGAAGGCTCTCCCACATTGATTACATTTATGACATTTCTCTCCATTAGGAGTTTGCTCCTGTGGCCTATTGGATGGATGACGACAAAAAGTCTTGCTTTTATTACATTCATAGGAATTCTCCACCATATGAAAATTGTTATATATAGGAAGCATATTATTATGCTTGAGGTGTATACCATGTTTGAAGCAAGCACATTTTTGTGCTGAGTTTTTTCAAGATGCCACAGAGCTCTATCATATTTATGACTTTCACAGAGCTTCCCTCTTACACGGTTTCTCTTGAAATTGTTTACGATTGAATTATGTTTCAAACTCTCAATATCTAAGTAACATTTATGGCAATGTTTACCAGTGGAGACTCTCTTTCAAAAAACAAGTTTTGATCCAAGTTTAGAGTTTTCCTCTAATTCATGATGGTCATAGAATCTCTCCTGAGGTGCTGTTTTCTTTTGGGTCACTTCCCTCAAATTTCCCTCTGGGATCTTGTGCTGTCTTCTGATCTATGGCATTCCTGGTCTTCACTTAATGTGGAGGACCAACTGTCCATTATGAATTTTATCATTTTCACTCCATTGGATGATTTTTCCCTAAAAATATTCTTTGGTTTTAAGTTGAATCTCCCAGTCTGGATAGGTGCCTTAGAGAAGTCTCCTTTTCATAGTTCTTATCTCTTCTTGACCCAACGGGGAGATCATAGTAGGCTTCCCTAATTGATATTCCACTGAGGTAAGATTCATATAGTTTTCTAGCATCACATCTCTGTAAATTCGTCTCTGATCAGAATCAAGCATCATCCACATCTTTAAAGGTCACTGGTACCTGTAACCAGGTTGCTGGAAAACCAGTCACCATCCTTTCTTCCTCAGTATTTCTCACGTATAAACAGGCAGAATCCTGTGTTGGCAGAGCCCATATGAGGGATAGGTCAATGGCTGCCATCTTGAGAGTCTGAAAGTGATATCTGCCTGCACAATAGGGTACAGAGATCAGGATATTTTCTTGTTCCTCTGATCCAATCAGGGAATGAAGGCATTTCATGGGGTGTCCTCCCTGTAGCCAAAGAGGCAGGTTCAGGTAAAAGAAAGGTGGAAACAAAGCCCCATTGTTGGCAAGGAAAAAGAAAAATTGTTGACCCTCCCCCCTACTCCCAGCAAGGTTTGATCAGCTTAAAATCTTCACAGGGATTTGTAGTCACATACAATATTGTCATCTTTGGCCCCCTTCTAGAACTTGGCTAGTTGTACTAGCTTCTCCTGGAGACTACTGTTCAGCACAGGTGTGAAAAGAGCATGCATTATTAAAAGAAAAAAGATTAAAGCTAAAGAGAATCAGTTCAAAGAGGCATGGTTAATTAATTAAATTTTGTGCATACTTTGCTACGTTTTAGTTAACTTTTGGAATAGGAAAATAATTTTCCTGTCAAACTTAATTATTCTAGGTATGCTTACTTTCCTATATATAACTTGTTTACCTGAATAACCTCATACATAATTAACAGCACTGATGATTTAGCTCCTACTTGGGAATTTTATTGGAGTTGTTAAAGGTAGATATGTGACTTTGAAACAAATGTTCATTTGATTACCACCAAATCAATCTCTCTCCCCAGAGTATATGTTTCCTCATGATAATTTATTCTATCTAGAACTTGAATGGGATCAACAAAGAAGTATGATCCATGATCCAAACTTTGGGAATGAGGTCTTAAGGTTAATAAGATGGCACAGTACTTTTCTACACAATTTTTACAAAGGCTTTAAAATAAATTTTAAAAAGATACAGTGTGAATACAAAAAAATGAATGCTTAGAGACTTTTAAGATCACAACAAATCATGCAATTTGTTATGCTAGTTTTTTACAGGTGTTACTTTTTGCAGATAGATGATAACCTTCAAATGTGAGCCCTCTATCTCAATGCTGCAATAGAGTTCAATTTTAATGAACAAAATCACAGAATTGGCAATTTTATTTAGACAAATATTTTTGACAGGTAGATTCTATGTCCTTAAACCAGAAGTGTATGTAAGTCTGTAACTTTGGTGTAAACTGTACAGAAATAGAATTCCATCTGATTTGTTCATTGCTGTATTCCAAGTACCTAGAATATTCCTAGCACATGGCAGACACTCAATAAATATTAAACGAATAAGCTGAATGAGTCCATGGCAATTAAGGTTTTGTGAAGGAACCTCCCCCCATCCATACCCTTCTTTCAGAAGAAAAAAAAATTAGACAGTTATGCTTTCTATTCAAAAAGGAACTTACTTTGTCTTCTGGTTAAAGCTTTTTAAGCTGAGAATTGTACTCTGGACTTGTTCCTTAATTCCCCATGTTTTATTTCTTTTCTAGTTACAGAATTAATTAGAAAAACTGAACACTTTAGGGACAAACAGGAAAAAGTATCTGAATAAATGGAGGGATTCATCATGATCATGGATGGAAAGATTCAATATTATAAAGATTTCAATTTTTCTCTAACTAGAATTGCATTGGATTTTCATTAATCTATATATTCAATAAGGGTTTTTTGAAATGACAATTTGATTTTAAGGTTTTATAGCAAAATGAAGGTACATAAATAACAAGGCAATTACTAAAATAGTGCTTTACCCTACTATATTTAAAAATGCACTGGGGTGCCTGGGTGGCTCAGTCGTTAAGTGTCTGCCTTCGGCTCAGGTCATGGTCCCAGGGTCCTGGGACGGAGCCCCGCATTGGGCTCCCTGCTCGGCGGGAAGCCTGCTTCTCTCTCTCCCACTTACCCTGCTTGTGTTCTCTCTCACTATCTCTCTCTGTCAAATAAATAAATAAAATCTTAAAAAAAAAAAAAAAGCATTATAAATCTCTAGTAACTTGGGCTCCTGGGTGGCTCAGTTGGTTAAGCATCTGCCTTTGGCTCATGTTGTGATCCCAGGGTCCTGGGATCAAGCCCCACATTGGGCTCTCTGCTCAGTGGAGAGCCTGCTTCTCCCTCTCCCTGCCATTCCCCCTGCTTGTGCTTGCTCTCTCTCTGTCAAATAAATAAATAAAAATCTTAAAAAAATTAAATCTCTAGTAACTTAGACAGATGGTAATGGGGCAATAATAAAAAGTAAAACAACTTCAGAAACAGATTGGTGTGTAGCTAGACATTTAATATACGATAAAGGCAGCACTATGAATCACTGCGGGGAAAGGATGGAGTAGTTCTTAAATGGTGTCAGGACAGCTGACTATCTGTTTGGAAAGCAAATTCTACTTCACACATTCCCATTCCCATTCCCATCTGGATCAAAGACATAAATTGGTATGTAACAGGAATTCTAGAAGAGGAGGACAGAGGGAATATAAAGGAAGTAATACTAGTAATAATGGTTGTTCTTACCCTAAGCTGAAAGAAAGATATGAGCCCTTCACCTCCAAGTGTATGTATGTACCACATACCACACTGAGGAAATTTCTGAAATCCACTGGATACACTGGAAATAAGCTGTAGGGCATCAGGAATGATGAGTAAAATTTTGAAGTTACTGGAGAGAAAAGGCAAATTACCTATAAAGAAATACCAATTATACTGACTACAGACTTTTTAGCTCCAAAGATGAAGCCAGAAGACCACAGAATAATATCTTCAAAGTGTTAAAGGAAAAGTTTCAACCTAGAAGTCAATAGTGTCCTAAAAAGTGAGAAAAACACTGGCATATTTCAAAGTGACAGCAGCATCCTCAAAGATGCTCATAAGATAAATGCAAGTTGAAACAAGAATGGGATATAATTTTTCTAAGGCACACCTTAAATTAAGAGACCTAAAACTGCATGAGACTTATTTAGACCATGAGTCAAAAAACAAAAACAAAACACACACACACTTACGAAATAACAGAAAACTTTGAACACTGCCTATATATTTGATATTAGAGAAGTACTGCTAATTCTGTAGATGTGATAATATATTTTTTGATTTTTAAAGGAGCTATTATTGGAGAGAGATTTTGAAATATTTACAATATATCATGTAAAAGATCTGCTTCAAAACAGTGATGGATACAAGGGTATCTGTTATACCTTTTTGTGTTTTGAAATTTTCATAATATAAATCTAAAAATCATTAGATATTTCATTCATAAAACATTAAAAGGATGTATGGCTGTTTTTTTTAACATATAAAATCACAAAATAAGTGATCTTAGGAAATTTAAAAGTATAATAACAAAAACAAAAAAAGGTAAAAAGATTTAAAGATAAAGCTGAGGAACTCTTCCAGAAAGCAGAACTCCCAAAAGAGGTAAGCAAAGAAAAAGGTAAGAAAATTACATGATCAATTTCAAAGGTTCAACACCAGATTATTCAGAGTTCCAGAAAGAAAAAACAGAAGAGAGAATCAAATACAGGAGAAATTCTTAAAATAGTGAAATATGTAAGGACTGACCCATCAAAATGGCAATTTCTTTTTTTTGTTTGTTTTTAATATTTTATTTGAGTGAGAGAGAGAGAGAGCAGGAGTGGAAGGGGGGAAAAGGGGCATTGTGAGAGGGAGAAGCAGGCAGCCCAATGTGGGGCTCCATCCCAGGACCCTGAGATCATGACCTGAGCCCAAGGCAGACACTTAACCGACTGAGCCACCTAAGCGCCCCAAAACAGGCAATTTCTTAAAAGACTGGAACTAAACTTATCAACATGAAAGTTTTGAATACCAAAAATAAACTGACAAATCTAAAGGTTCCAAGAGATGATAAATAGGTTACATACAAAAGAACAGTAACAGGTGTGGAATAGGACTTCTCAATGGTAACACTGCTTCATTTCTATTTGGCTTTGCCCACTTTTAAAATTCCGAGGGAAGGCAAGTTCTTCCATCGACGGCCTAAGAGTGGCGCTGCAAGAAGCAACAACCTCTCCTCCTCTGCCATCTGCTCAGCAGCCACAAAGCAGCAACCATGTGCAAATTCATTTCCATCCAGGCTGGTGTTCAGATTGGCAATGCCTGCTTGGGAGCTCTACTGCCTGGAACAGGGCATCCAGCCCAATGGTCAGATGCCAACTGACAAGACCACTGGGGGAGGAGATGACTCCTTCAACACCTTCTGCAGTGAGACAGGTGCTGGTGCCCAGGGCAGTGTTTGCAGACCTGGAATCCACAGTGACTGATGAAGTTCACACTGGCACCTACCACCTGAGCAGCTCATCACAGGGAAGCTCATCACAGCCAGTGACTGTGCTGGAGGGCACCACACCTTCAGCAAGGAGATCAATGACCTTGTCTTGGACTTAAGCTCAAAAAAGAAAAAATGGCTACAATTATTACAGCAATGATTTTAAAATATCACTAAAAAGCCGTGATTTTTAAAATCTCTAAAAAATCACTATAGAAGATTAGGATGAACAACTTTATGCCACCAAACTTATAAATTCACAGGAGATGAACAATTTTCTAGAAAACCTTAAGTGTCCAAATTGACTAAGAACTGTAAAACAAATCCATCAACAACCATTAAAAAAAAAAAAAAAAGAATCAGAAGTCAAATATCTACCCCTAGAGATTTTGAGCCCAAAACTTACAATGGAAAAACTACTTTACAAAACAGGAGGAAAGAAAAATCTATGCTTCCCAAATTATTCACGAGACTTGTGAAACCCTTTTACGGTACAAAAAACAGTACTGCGAAGAGGCCTCTTTTAGGCAGAGGCTGAAGCGATGGAACGTGGAAAGGGCCCACAGTGACCCCTGGCTGAACACACACCTGCCCATCAGGCGACCCACCTTAAAACAGCTGACCAACGGGCTACCTACAAACCGGTGGTTACCAAAAGCAGCAAAATGCCCACGCATCTCCGTACTTCCTCACCTTCCCCTCCCAGTGCCTTGCTGCGGACGGTTTCTCCTCTGCTGCCCAGCCGCCCCACCCCCTGCGGTGGGTTCAATAAACGTCTATCTCCTTTGTTCCACCCGGGGAAATTC